CAAATTTACCCAAACATCTCAAGCTTTAAAAACAAGGTAGGTGAAAATGTCCTAGAATCGTGAAATTAAAAACCAACAAACAAATTAGAATATTGAAACATGGTATGAAGTTGTGTCCTGACCAATTAAAATACAGTCCCAATTTTATTTTAGGATCGACTTTTTATGATGCTGTTTTTGCTGTGTGCTTTGGAGTCAGTTCTGACTCACAGCGCCCCGACGGGCCCTCCCAGGCCCTCACCACTGCTCTTAGGTTGCAGGGCATTGATGCAGCCCTGTGCCGCTCCATTGTGTCCAAGGTCTTCCTCTTTTTCACTTACTTCTTCTGATAGCAGTGTTCAGTTCTTTTGACTTTACCTATAAAAATACTTTTATGCATTTCAAAAGCTTAAGTTTTCTTAAAGAGCCCTTAGTAAAGTTAATGTGCACTGTCAGTTTTTAAAAAGTTTGTTCTATTTTCTATATACCATATATATTTGGTTGTTTGTGTTTGGGGTCTTTTTTTTTAATGCAGTTAGCCCTGGGAAAATGATAAATTTTCAATGATGCTCACAACTTATATTGAGCATTTTAATATCTGATTTCTATGTTACTATTTATTTGTAAAATATCTGCTTATGAACTATCCTGACTTGTTTCAGTGATGTAGCTGTAAGTAAAAATTTAAAAATTATATAGTTAAAAATATTTTAGAAACTCTAGTTGCCAGATAAAAAAGTATAACTCCATCACCCCTACATCCAGGGCAGACACCACAAGGAATAAGAGGCTGCTCTATGAGAACTTTATGGTGAAACCAGTTTTCAAGAAACAAAACCAGACCAACAAAGAAGGCTGTCCTCTCTGAAGTTAATCAGAAGTTTATGGATTAATTTGTGTTTATAAGAGCTAGATGTCTGACTCTATTGTTTTTAATTGTTAGACATGAAGACACCCAGGATGTTGATCTATAGAACACTGCCTAAATTGGTTAAACGCTAAAATGTACCTGCTCTTTTTTCTATTGTATGGTCACAAAAAAGGAGTAAAAAAAGTAACAAGCAAAAACTTTCATTTCTTTACTGTCTTATGCATTCTGATATCACATGGCAAAAATACCCAAGACAAATGGACATTATTTTTTTCCCCCATCGCCCTTCTTGCCATTAAAAAACTCAAAGTAAACAAAAGAAAAAAAACACAACTCCTCCTAGAGACCAGATTTCTCAAAAATGTATTCCCTAGTTTGGAACCATGTATGTCAGGTTTCCGCCCAGAGCCCATTTTTATGGTGGCGAAGTAACTCCCTGAAGGGCAGGGTCATAAAGGAAGTGCTGACGCAGCCCTAACCACTGTGCAGGCTTGTGAATGGCGCCACGGTTATATCTGCTAGGAATTCTTGAAAAAGTTTGCAAAACACGGTCTTGCTTTAAAAAAAGAAAAAAAACGCCAGAGAGAGTTTGATGCCAACATAAACATGCTTTTAACCCATTATGTGCTAATTTGCAGAAAAGCCATTAATGGAGAATAAAGCACACAGAGCAGCAGTCACAGGAAATGTTCTTTCAAACTTCTTTTTGACTTTTAACATGACTTTAATCAATTCCATGAAGCATGTACGACAGTTATAAACTGGAGGGTATTTTCGCTCAGAACGAAAGAAGCGGGGGTTTCCTTCTTTGCCAGAGAGGATGATTTGGGGCTTGGGGTTAGGAGTGGGGATAGTGCCAAGACACACATACAAAATACCCTGGCTCTTTCAGCACATAGAGTATTTTAAGAATATTTTGTAAAAAAATTGAAGGCCTATCTTAATGCATCCTGATTTTTTGGTGTATGTCTCTTGCCACACCTGCAGTGATGATATCTTTTCCTATTCATCAGCTTTTTTAAAAGACATTTTTGTAGAAGTTGAAATGTAAAAATGTCTCCCATCAAATCACTTTCTCAACATAAGTAATCCGTGTGTGTCTTCTGTGTTGTTAATCTCCTCCTTTCCTTAGTCATGCTCCTCAACAGAATCGTAGTCAGCCTTATCCGGTTGGACCAGGCACGGTGACAGAAACAGGGTCTTACAGGGGCTTATCTCTTCTGATATTTTCACAACGTAGACGCCAGCTGCAGTCCAGGTAACCAACCACGTTACCATTGCAACGCTGTGAACTATGGCAAACGGGCCTCGAGAGAACTGGTGTACCCAAGGCTAGCATCCAACAGAGATGCAGCATGATTGGGGATACAGGAATTACAATATAAGCCTGTGAATGATAAGGAAAAACAAACTCACTGCTATTGAGTTGATGCCAGCACATAGCAGCCCATAGGACAGTGTCGAATGACCCCTGGGACTTTCTGCGATTGCGACTATGGGATTAGAAAGCCCTGTTTTTCTCTTGAGGAGAGACTAGTGCTTTCTAACTGCTCACCTTGCAGTTAGCAGTTACTAATACATCACCAGGTATGTTAGACAGGGTTCCCTAGAGAAACAAAACCTGATTTTATAGATATAGGAGGATAGGTTTATACAGCAAGAAGGAATATAACAGCTCATTAGTCCACACAGCAGTACAGAGGGTTCAGTTCAACTCACTTCCGTGGAACAGTTAATATACTGGAAGTCCTTCTACTCATGTGGGCTGCCAGGTCCAAGGTCAAGGAAGCAGACAGCGGAGTCCTCCTTTGGGAAGGCAAGCAGACTCTGCCCACAGGCAGCAAACAGCAGGGTGGGTCACCAGCAGTCAGTAGCTCAGGAGCTTAGCGAAGCAGATTGGATGCGATATCGAACACAAGCAATGCAAGGTGACAGGATCCACTAGTCTCAAGCTCAAGCGATGTACACACCAGCAGCTTGGCGAAGCAAGTCTCAAAGGAGCCTCAAGCTCTAGTGACACATCCATGGGTTGGCTTGGCCCACAGGTAGGATAGCTCACAGACTGAAGCAGAGAACTAGCTCAAGCAGCAGCACACTCCAGCATGCTCCAATCACCAGAGAACAAGGGAGAGGGGGGCAGGCCTTGCAGAGCCTTTATCTCTTTGCCCTCCAATCAAACTGCAACCTGATTAATCCCACATGTTCCTATTGGCCAAGTTGGCACAATAATCCTAACTATCACACCACAGATCCTGCAAATGACAACAGTGAGCGTTTATACAGCATTTATTATGTGCTAAGCATTGTCCACATTCATTTTTAAATGCATAGAAAATCTTAGGATATAAGTATTATCAGCACTTGACCTATTGGGGACTGAAGCACGGAAAGGTCAAATCAGCTTATGAAGATCACACAACTGTAAGTGGCTGAGCCAGGATGGAACCCCAAGTAGTATGGCTATTTCTTATGCTGTTTTCTATCCTTCCCCATCCCCCAACCCCAACCACCATCACTACACTGCACTGCCTGTTAGCTGCCTGGCATTGCACGAAACAAATCAAAGAAAACTTAAGCTTACACGGTAAGCCAAAAACAAGCTCACTGATATTGAGCTCACTAGCACCCAGAGTCCTATATGACAGAACATAGCTGCCCTGTAGGGCTTGCAAGACCACGCATCTTTACAGAAGCAGACTTTCACATCTTTATCTTGTGGGGCAACTGGTGGATTCAATGCTTTGGGTTCATAGTCAAGTCAAGTGCTTATCCACGAGGCTCCCAGTGCTGCCTAAACATGCACACTCGCCCATCAACTGATCTCCAAGTAGAGATAGCTTCTTTTACAAGTGCTAGTATAATTGTCTCATTTAACTCCATAACTACTTCTCTGTAAGAAATGCTCTAAGGTTAAGCATGTCACCTGCTTTAAGAGTAAGTGGATGTCACCTGCAGTGGGCAGTTGAGCTACATTACTTTTCTCATGGGGAGGGGGGCATGAATTCATGTGATCAGTATGTGGCCATTCCGACAATCAGGTGCCATGGCCGGAGCCATAACCTTCCCAAACTGTGCAACTCAGATGAGCATCTACTCAGAGGTCTGTTGAACCACATTGGGACCCTTGGTAGGAAATGTGGAGTCATCTTTTCAGTCCACACCCAATTCCCAGGTCCTACTCTCCATTTGTCTGCAAGAAGTTCAAGATTATGTTAGTTTATTCTGCTTCGATGATCTGAGAATTTCTACGTGATACAAAACCAGACTTTTAATGAAATACTCATATCATTTATGATACTTAATTTTTCTCCCTCTCTTCTCAGTTCCTTCTTTCTTCTTCCCCTTGTCTTCCTTTCATCCATCCATCCATCCATCCACCCACCCACCCATCCATCATCCACCCATCCATCCAGTGCTTTTTGCAGGAGAGTGGCATCATAGTGAAATGTATGGGCTTTGGATACAACTACAAATCCTGGCTCTTAACACTCTAGTTTATTCTTGTGCCAGAATAAATCACTCTTTTTATTTTCTCCATCTATAAAATATAGACCAAAAAATCACGGTATCTGCTTCAAAATGATGTTGTCAGAAGTAGATAATATACATATAGTGCTTAGGAGACAGTCAAGCACACATTAAGTGTTTAATAAACAGTCCTTGTCATCACTCAAACTTCTAAGAGTTTTTCCTCCTTATCCAAGCAGAGATGTGGAAGAAAACTTCCTAAGAGTTCAATTAACAGTAATAACTACTGTTTCTAGATAGATATACAATAAAATTTCAGAATTTATTGACAAAATATTTGATCTTCTCCTTTCTTTGACTGTCATCATTGAACATAGATGATGCAGTGGATTAGATAACAAGGCAGTTAATAACAAACATCTTACTTTATCACTATTTGGTAATAATTTTTACTGGAATTATTACTAATTGGTTTGCATTTTTTCTGCTTCTATCAGTCAAGACATAATTAACTCCCACTTTGAAGATTACAGCTAATATTGGTAAATGTAATTGAGTTGAACAGTCATAGAAAAACTTCCTAAGGGGGGCACATATTTAACTTTGATTACCCACACAATCCCTTATTTTGGAAAACCAAACCCAAACAAAAGCACTCACTAATTTATCTTCCACATCATACCTTCCTTCACCGCCTGTTTCTTGTCCTGATTTTCAAGTTCTGAGTCATGGCCGACTTTAGGCTCCACCATTTCCTCATCTTCCTCATCCTCTAAAAAAAAAAAGAGAGAGAGAAAAATGCAATGTTTTCTTTCCTTCAAATCAAAGTCTTTGGTTGATGGTGGGAGGTAGGTGTAAAGGGTAAAGTTCCAATCATTTAGGGCAACTTCTAAGTAAATCAATCCACAGTGAATGCCCAAGTTATATGTTCCTGAATACATGAATACATTATCTCCAAAGGAACCCCTTTGAAATCTCCCCCAAGCTGCTGAGAAAACGTCCCTGAGTCTGCACCTGCTGCCTCCCTCTCCAGACCTTCACCACGTGTGACGTCTTGGAAGTGCCTCCCTGACCCCTGAAACGTCTTCTGGGATGGTCCAAGAACATATCTTAAAACGTTTCCACCTGGAGCACATTCTCGATGGGGAACACCTGCTCTACAGAGGACTCATTTCCAATCTCATCCTCACCAAATTAATTTGCTTTTGACCTACAGGAAAGGGTCAAATGCAGGTGTGACCCCAGGTCAGATGCCACTGGCAAGTAAACAACTGGGGGCAGGGCCCCCAAAGTCAATGCCATGGGCTTGGGAGGAAGCAACCAACCTAAATGGCATTTACGCATCCAGAGAAGTCTATGCATTAATGTGAATTTAATGAGCACTAACAAATGGACCCATGGGCGACCACTGCCAGATGGTAGAGTGCCCTTCCTGCCCTATGCAAATAGAGGCTCCCTCTTCCTCTTCCTCTTCGCCTCATCCCCCTTTCATCGTGGAGCACATGAAATCATCAGTCATGATGTAGAAGATGTGAAAGAGAGTTAAGGTGTCATAAGAAGATCAAAGTTACAGAAAATAAAATGATTTTAAAATTAAAACTGGCATCTACAGTTTTTTTTTTTTTTAACTAAAATGTCTTCCCTTTCAGGCATTACAAATATATCTCTGTAGGCTATGGGTTCCATTAGTCAAACAGAATTTAAAAAGAAATGATTTTACTCTATTCCCATCATACATTCATTCAAATATGCGGCAATTCACTAAATACTTATAGGCCTCCTGAGATAGCACGTTCCCATCACTATTAATTTCTGAGATGTTATCAATTCAAATCTTAGCACCAATCACTTAGAGGGCAGTCTAAGCCCATAATTAAATGCCCAGATAAACATCGAAGCCTGGAAACCAACCCCAAAAGTTTTGACTATATTAAATGACTTGTAGAAGGAGAATCAACTTTAAAAATATGGACGTGTAAAGCACAGCATTGCAATTTAAATATTAAACTTTTAATGTTCTGTATGTGTGTGTAGACTGTAGAATCAATCCCATTACATCAGCACTGAAACAAAGAATGTGAAATATACATATGGGAAAGAATACAAGGTCATATATATGAGACAACATTTTTCTTTTTTTTTTTTTAAACATTTTATTAGGGGCTCATACAACTGTTATCCCAATCCATACACACATCAATTGTGTAAAGCGCATTTGTACATCGTTTCTCAAAACATTTTCTCTCCATTTAAACTCCCGACATTAGGTCCTCATTTTTCCCCTCCCTCCCCGCTCCCCCCTCCCGCATGAGCCCTTGATAGTTTATAAATGGGTATTTTGTCATGAGACAACATTTTTCATTTAAATATCTGAAGAGAACATTGAGTGCTCAGTTTTCTAAATGGATACACTTTAAAAATGTTGTTATAAATAACACATCTAAACCCTTATTTTCATATAATCATATTCCTACTATCACCCACAATAAACCTCCTTTCAAAGTTTACTGTGAACAAAACAGAAGGAGCATCTAGACCTGAGGTATCTTCCTAAGCTAACTGTCAGGACTGAAGGTGGTTTCCCCAAATGTCTTTGAATTCGGCAGCATGAGGCAACATCAAGTTCTAACCTGTCGCATTTGGTGTCTTAATGATCTGGTGCTGCTAGAACAGAAAGAAGTGGCAGCTTTATCACACAGAAGTTTAGTTTCTCATAGTTTGGGGCACTCAAAGTCCAAATTCAGAGTGGACACTCAAGCCTATGAAGACATACCTTAGGCCAATTCTGCGTCACTAACCTAACAAACCACCTTGTTCCCAAATAGGAATATTATCCCAGGGATAGGAGGCAGGGTTTGGAACACATTCTGCGGGGGGGTGGGGGGTGGGGGGTGGGGTGCCATGGAGAACATAAGGTTTTTTATTTCAAGGCAAACAGGCAACATCATGACAGTAAGTGACATTTGCTGCTTAATTAGAAAAATAATAATTCTATCAAAAGCACAGCTGTAAAAAGGACTAGGCTTGTTATTTTATACACAGAATTAGGAGGAAAGATGGCAGGTTATCCAATACTTTAAATAGAAAACCCACTCCTGCTAAAATTTTCTTGCAAACTTTCCTTCTACCAACAAATATTTATTGAGCCATAACATGTACGAAGTCGCATGATGAGATACTGTCAATGAGGGAGAACGCATTCGGAAACGAGACAGGAAAAGAGGCCTGTCCTCTTACCGTGGCTCCACACCAGCTGGAGCCATTCGTTTTCAGTGGCCACAGAATTCTCTGTCTCAGTCTCTTCAGACCGAAAGGAAGGTTTCGGTGGATTTGTTAAGGAAATAAAACAAGAGACTGGCTTGTTTCTCTGCACACTGATATGTTTGCCTTGCTCAGCAAAGAGTATATTTTTCTTTAAGACTCTGGTTTCCTTTCTAGTGCAATTGGAGTTACTTCTGTTGAAATCATTTTCAAAACAGTTAAATAACTCTGGAGAAAAGGATTTATGTAGACCCACTACAGACTACTGATATACGACTTGTGCTACTAGTCCCTACCCAGTTATATTTCCTCTGCAATTGGAGAGAATAAAGAAAAAATTACCACCCATGTATGGTTTCCTATACTCAGGTTCACATAAGAGATGAAACTAGTGGTAGAATTTAATTACCTGTCAGTCCAAGGGACTCATTTCAAACAATGGCATATATATACCTTATTTACTACAACTCTGATTCTTTACATTGATCTTCCTTTGTCACATCTCTTATCTAGAACTAGCCTATTTTTAACAAGATTCTTTGTTGTTGTTGGTAATAAAAATCACCTTCCAACTGGCTCAAGTATAAATACATTTTATGAGTAAGAAGTTTTAAATGCCTTCTGTATGCTAGACATTCTTCTTCGTCTTTAAATACTTCTCCTGGGGGCTCGTACATCTCTGATCATGCTCCATACATTCCTCGAGTGTGTCAAGCACATTGGCACATCTGCCGCCATCATTTTGAAAGCTTTCTCTTCCCACTTGAGCCCCTGATCAAACAATGGCATATTTAAGACACATTATTTTATTTACCCCGGATTCACTACTATCTCCAACTGCTGCTTTCTTCCTCCTAGCTGTAAAAAAAGTGCTTCCGTAACCACTGGCGTTCTTCCTTAAGGTTTTTGTGAAGGTCTAAATGAGGAATGACACACCAGGCTGCAAGCACATCTAGCGCACAGAGCACAGAACTTGACCTGCTATATACGCTCTGCAAGGGTTAGTTGTCATCCCCTGGTCCGGGACGAAGCCATCACAGCCAATTTTAAAATGCCACAGTCCTCTGATTGCTGACCTACTCTGCTGGCCTCCCAAATGGGAGACTTTTGAAAGACACTGCAGTGGGACACTTGTCATTGTTTGGTAACATCGTATCAAAACTCCTTTCTGTCTCCTCTTTCGGATGGCTCCATTGGTGAGCTGTGAGGCCCTACTTCCCTAGCCTGAAGCTCAAGGGCAAGCACTTTTCTCCTCTTTGTATCCTAGCAACCAGAATATGGACCATCAGATTAGACGTTCCCAATTGGGAGGCAAAGCTGGGGGTGGCTAGGATGTATTTGGGGCAGTTGTTGCAACGGTGCCCACCATCTTGGTTAGATTGTCCCTGAAAAGTCAAGTGTCTGGACTCGCAAAGCTGCTGCCCCTTTTCAGTCCATTGCTTCTACCACCTGTTGATTCTCTGAGCACCAGACTCACAAGGGCATCTTGCGACTGCCCAAAAGGAGAGGCACAGAGCAATTACCCAATGACTAGAAGTCTACCACGCCACAGTCCGGAGATGCATAATTGTGTGCCACCAAGAACTACTGCTAACTGGACCAGAACATCTCCTCAATTCTCATGTGGACGATCATGAATGGTAGACTGGATGAAATAATTTTTGGCTTAAGAAATGAATAGAAACTAGCTTCCAAAATACAAAAGGCATAGCAAGAAGAATTCTAAACGAAGCTCGCTAATATGGGTGGGCATACTTGGTGAGCAACAAAAAACCTGTGTTGCTGGTGCTGACACATTGCTTTCTACTGAAGAGGCTGGCTGCGTGTGGACAAGACTGCAGGCATGGGGTCAGTGCGAATGTAGACGGTTGCCATATTCCAGGCAAGATGATGAGAGCCCAGCCTAGGGGAGTTCGGTTGCTAGTGGGTGTGGTGAATTAGAGGGCAAACGTAGACATGTGTTTATACAGCAGGCATGGAGGGCTCCTACGCAGAGCTCGCTCCAGGCACTTGATCCTTCGACTAATCTTGTGTGCAGCTTGCCAACTTTGCCGGGAGTCCGAAGGAGCCACCCTCCCAATATGTACCCCACCAGCCAAAATAAAGTATAACATGCGCCACTGAATGCTTGCACAAACCAAGGTGAGCGAGTGCCTCTGTGCTTTTAAAATATGCAGGGAAGACATATTTTGTGGGATTTTCAGTAAGCACTTTGTTAAATATACTACATGCTAATATTTAAAAAACCTTCACTTTCTGGTCTAGAAAATTCTGGCCAGAGCAAAGAAAACATACATTTCTCATCATACAGAGCACCCCTGTTAACACTCCAGGCCACATCAGTTCTCTCCTACGGCTCTAACATGACACTACTTGGAAAGTTTACTTCCTGATGGCATGTCACCCAAGGCATCGCAAATGAGAGGAAATGAAAGAAAATACTCAAAATGAGAGAGGAAGCCAGAACAGATGATTTTTTAAGCAGTTTATAGTTAGAGTTGAGCGTGCATA